TCACCTATTAGTCCTACTCATATTTATTATGCCAAGACCGCTACAACCTCAACATGGGAAGATACTGATGTCTGTTTGAATTGGAGACTAATACATAGTGAAGAAGAAATAAGGGACTAGAGGTGGCTCAACAAAAGCTCTTCGCTCTTCCTGCCACCTCTGCCTTGTGCATCTCCTCAGACAACTTTGGCCACAGCAAAAGTGGCCACAGCAGTACCTCCCAGGAGAGCACGCAGTCGGGCCAGCTCTGAATGACGCACACCAAGGCAGATGGTCACTTGGTGTTAGCTCAACAGAAACGGGTGGAATTATGTCAGTTGGTACCAGCTGAGAATACAGGGACATAGACCTGGGTGGATGGATGATGATACACGAGGCTCCGGTCAGCCTGTCCACTCCACCCCAGGTCCTGCTGGTGGACAGAGGAGGAGGAAATGGGTGTCTCCAGGTCTTTCCTGCTGGGTCACCTGGACTATGCACCAGGATAGGTAATGGCCAGGGGGTTGCGAAGTCTGTCCCTTTCTCCCTGGTGGACACAGCTCTGCCTGGTAGTGGCCACCAACCCACTGCCACGGCCTGACTCCTCCTCACCGCACTGCAGCATCGCATGGGTCCGGCCCCAGGCGACAGCACTGGTCCATGTAAGCCCGAGGTCACCAGAGAACCATGCCTTGCAAAAGTTCATTTGCTCTTCCTGGTGCAGCTCCTGGGGCTGGTCCCTCTGCAGTGTGGGATGGTTTCTGCTCAGCCTGCCCATATGCACAGCAGGATGAAGGACAGAAGACTCTGACCTCCTGTTCCTACTGGGCAAAGAGAAGAGCAGAGAGGGGCCTGACAGCAGCACATTTTCGGAGACCGAGGAAGAGGCAGGCCCTGGATGCTGGAGAAAGGACAACTGTCAACTCTGATGTCAACACCGGGCAGAACACTTTGTTAGAGGGAAAAGAAAAGCCTAGAAAACGAGCGCTACGAACAGCATGCCCGGAGCAGGGCACCAATCCCCTTCAAGCTCCTTCAGGCGACAGGCACCCATGGGATCTCGCTCTGCTTTGCTCCTCATTAAAGGTTTGTCATTACTGCGTTATTTTTAATACACACTTAGAGAAAAAGACCCACACGCACACCCACGCGTGCACACGCACACACAAAGGTAAACCATTGCCAAAATATACACTATAGACAGAAGAGTCCGTTCACACTATATATATGTACAGAGTCTCTGGGCACAGCCTGGCAGCGTGCAGCTGGGCTGGGGCTGAGCACGGGGTGGGATGGGATGGGTGGGAACCCCTCAGGGCTTCACGCACTTCCCCTTCTTCTCCCGCCGCTGCAGTTTCCGAAGGCGGCGCGTCCAGGCGTCCCGCCACTGGATGACCAGGCTGTTCTTGTCGGCCATCAGTCCCGGCCGGTCAGTGGAGTTTTCGCTGATCCCCATGACCAAGTACTTCTTGCTGATCTGGATCTTGGGGCACTTGCAGGACAGGTCTTTCAGGTGGATCCACAAGAAGTTGTCGCCGCGCTTGACCCGCTCGTCCCGGCACTTGTAGACAGAGAGGATGTTGATGGTGAACTTGGCCCAGTTGGCCACTGTCTCCATTTCCAGGATGTTCACCTGGACCACTGAGGGAAAAGAGGGGGAGGCATCGTGATGGGGGATGCTTTGCCTTGCTCCCCAAAGGAAGCTTTGGCAATGGGAACTGCCCATCCCCAGCAGCCCCACCTGCCTCATCCATTGCACCTTTGGGAAGGCTGATTTGAGGACCCCTCTCTGTGCTGGGTGCTCCCCATCCCCTGGGACATCTGCATCTCCCCCACCCATGGCCAGCCTGTGGCCGGCCCTCGGCTGCCCCTTGTGGCAAAGCCCAGCGTGGCCCAGGAAGGGAGGAGGTTCTTACCGTAGTCCTTCTTGCAGTACTTCTTCATGTTGATCTTGTAGTTGCCCTTGGCTGGCTTGCAGTAGGAGTCACAGTCTGCAGAGGAGGAACAGAGGGTTGAGCACTGAGGGGCTTGAAGCACGTGGGGTCCTGTCCTACCACGAGGGAAGAGCAAACAGGATGGAGGGGATGGCAGCAAGACCCAGCCTGGCAGAAGGTGGTGGTACCCCCTTCCCAGTACCCTCCAGAAGGCTCCTGCACCAGGGCCTGGGTTGCTGCTGGGGATGGGGTCTGGTGAGTCCAGCTGCCCCCCTGGCAGCTCACTGCAGCTGGGGGCTAAAATCCCAGCACAAACACTGACACCACATGAGCTGGGAAGAGAAACCAAGTGGCTTTGAGCCCATGAAGCAGACTGTGTCACCTCCTGGGCTTACGGTGATGGTGTTCTGCACGATAAATCAGTGGAGGGGCAGTGGAGGGAGTCTGGGGACTCTCCCCCAGAAGGGAATGGACAGGAGAAATACAGGTGAGGCAATGGTGGCCACCATGGAGAGTAGGCAAGTGCCTTGGCCAAGGAGAGTCAACCAGAACAGCTGTGGCTCTGCAAACCGGGGTAATGTGGGGAAGAGGGGACTCAGCGCCAACCATCAGCCCCACAGGGAGGGGACCCAAAGGAAGGTCTGACCCCAGGCCAAGGGGATTGTCATCCTCAGGGGCGATTCAGCCTCAGGGGCCAGGGTGGTGGGAAGCATCTTCATGAGGCAGCCCCTCCAGAGACCTGCACCTTGCTGGTGTCCCAAAAGTGGGGAAGGGGACTCAGGCTGGGGGGGAGCAGGTGGGTGAGGGAAGCAGCTCTGTTCCACCAGGTCGCTCCTGCTGCCCGAGCAGCCCCTGCTCAGGCTGCTCCAGCATCGCTGGGGAGGCCACCAGGCTGTACTCCACCCCACGGAGCATCCCTCCCCGCTGTCCCCCAGCTCTCAGGAGAGGCTCATGTCCTCAAGGAGGCTTTTTTCTGTGCATTTCTAAAGACCCCAGATTTGCATCTCAAGCAGAGGGAGGGCAGGGAATGCCTCTTTCCTTCTCCCCAGAGGCTTTGATCCCAACAATTGCCCGAAGCAGCCTGGTTCTCCTCTTTTCTTTCCCCCTGCCATCTTCCTTTGAACATCTCAATTTGTCTCTTTCCAAATGGCATGTTATTTCTAAGCCCATCTTTCTTCTTTTCTCTCCCTCTTGCAGGTTCTCTCTCCAGCTTGGCCCCGCATCCCGGGAAAGAGCCAGGAGCCCCTGAAGTTGTCTTTGTTTGCGGGTTGCCACAGTGATCACTGGGGATGGAGGCGAGGGTCTGGGGGAAGATGGGGAATAACAGCACCCTGTGCCAAGGGGAGGAAGAGGAAAGAGGAAAGAAAGAAGCCCAGGGGCACAAACTCGCCCTGGGCTCTGTTGCTCTCCTTTCTGCCTGGCTCCTTTTTACCAGGGACTTTGTGCTGCCTGTTCCAAATTTGTTGTTGATAGAAGCAGCACAGCATGAAGCTAATTCTTGGCAGAGGAGCTGAGCCCTAATTCTGGGCTCAGCACCCCCTGTGCCAGTGTGCTGCCCCTCTGCCTGGGCTGGCAGAGCTGCCCGGCCCCACTGCATCCCCCAGGACAGCAGTGGCGGCTGTGGAGGGGGTGCAGGGTCGCCCCGTGCTGGGTGGCTGCTGAGTGCACTGAAGTGCTCAGCCGCGGCACAGAAGGTGCCCCTGTCTGTTGCACCCTTGGGATGTGCTACAGCCCCATCCCAGACACTGCTGTATCCCTGGGATGTGCTACAGCCTCATCTGTGACACTGCTTTATCCCCAGGGATGAGCTACAGCCCCATCCCAGACACCACTGTATCCCCTGGGATACACTGCAGCCACATCCCTGACACTGCTGTATCCCCTGGGATACACTACAGCCACACCCCTGACACACTGCTCAGTCTTTTCCTGCTATGTGAAAGGGACTCCAAAAGGGAGCTCCCACCTTATTTTGGGGAGTGCCCAGCAGGACAGGTGCCCTTTTCCTGCCTGAGCAGAGCAGAGGAGGCTGTCCATGTGCCCAAGCAACCGCCCTGGCATGGGGTGGATACCAGGCACTTTTTGGGGTGCAGGATGTGCCCCTCCACACCCACCGCAAGGTCGCGCCCAGGTCCCTGGCCCCTTGTGAGCCTTCAGTGAAGATGCAGGACCATATGGGTTTGGGGTACTCCAACGCTGGAGCCAGAGCCAGGAGCTGTGCCACCGCAGCGGTTTGCCAGCGCCACGCCGTGCAGGGCCAGGCGGTGAAAGGAGGCGGCCAAGGGGTGTGGAAACCATCCTGCAGCCGGCATTGGTCATGGCTCTGCCATGGGCCATGGGGTGCCATGGCGGAGGAGGGCGGCACAAACCAGGGGGTCTGGCGGGAGGATGGCCAGAGTGGCTGCCGCACGGTGCTGAGGCCACACCAGTGCTGAGCCCAAGGGGATGGGGTGATGGGTGGTGGGACCGGGCTGGGGGCCAGCCTCGGCCAACTTACCACCCCCCTCGCTTGGGGATGAGGAAGAAAGAAAAGAAAAGCAGAAAGAAAATCAGTAACTGCCCCGGGCTCCTGCTTGTGATTAACAGCACAAACCCGTGATCCTACAGAGCCAGAAAATACTGTTGGGAATTAACAGTTTGGGATTAGTTTGGGGATTTTTTTTAACCTTGGTTTTGTGCTGAGGAACATTCCTCAAATATAAAATCAATTCCTGCTCAACTTCAGAAGAAAAAAAAAAAGACCAAGTAACTCGCAGCATTTCCCTTCCTTGCCTCTGAGCACGTGGCCTCCATTGCCACGTGTGGGGCGGCTGTGGGTGCTGTGGCTGGGGAAGTGTCCAGGTGAGGGGTGCAGGGCTGCTGCTCGGCTCAGTCTCCACCTGGGGGGTGGCTGGGTCCTGCCTGGACCTCCACAAACCGCCTGCCCCTGGGCACCTGGGCCTGTCCCTGCAGGGTCCCCCCACAGCAGGGCTCCACTCAGGGTCTCAGCCTCCAGGACACGGCTATGGACCATGGCTCCATCCTCCCATGCCCACCAGGATGCCACACGCCCGGCGGTGGCTCTTCCTGCAGGCAGGCACCAAGCACCCCGGCTGCGGCTCTGCCTGCCCTGCAAGCCCGACTGGGCAGCACGCTCTCTGTCCACCCCACAAAACCATCAGGAGAAGCTGGATGGCCATCAGAGAAGCCGCTTCAGGAGCCCCCCTGGCAGCTCCCACAGCACCTCCCACCTTCCCAGCTCTCTTTTAAACTTCCCAGACATGGTGCTACACATGCTGCAGGGTAATGGAAAGAAGATCAAGTTTAGCCTCTGCTTGCAGCCACCCTCCTGCTCACCCCTCCTGCCACAGCTGTGCAGTGTGACGGGGCAGCCCAGCCCTGTGGAGGGGATGGGGGATGGCAGAGACCTGACACAGTCTGCGGCTGTGAAAGTGCACCCACAAACCCCAAGATGCCTCTGCATCCCCTGGGATATGCCACAGTCCCATCCCAGACAGGGATGCACTGGGATACGCTACAGCCCTGTCTTGGATGCTGCTCAGTCCCGTTTGTGTCCAACGGAGCTCCTGGCCCACCTCACCCCACTACAGCCGTGTCCCAGGCAGGACCAGCTCCTGGCTTCCCCCCTTGGCCACCTCCTGCTAGGGCCACATAAAGCCTCCCTGGAGCAACGGGGAGACCCGCATTGGTGGCAGACTCAGCAGATGCTGGCGAGGGGTGGGACCCTCCATGGACACCAAGGGGGACAGCTACCATGGGTGTGCGCCCACCGAATCGCTGCCTGCTAATGCCAGCCTGGCATTGGCCTGTGGTGCAGGCAGCAGCACCATATGTGTGGGCAATGGCTCTGCTGCCAGTGGCGAGCCGGCACGTGGGGTGGATGGACCGAGCAAAAACGCAGGCAGGGGGGAAGAGGTGGGCGGCGAGCCACCGGCCTGGCATGGGCATCCCCTGTCTCTGCGGGGGGAGTATGTGTGAGAGGCGGCAAGTTTGCACATCTGGTTTACTTCATCTTGAAAAAAAGAAGGAATATTTTGTTTTAAGAGAGATGTAACTTAATTAGGTGTTATGGCTGCAAATCTTTTACTGCTGACTTTGAATTCCTTTAAAGCCCTGTTTTGCGCTCCACAAGTTTTGTTAATTCTGCTAACGAGGAACAAGGATTTTTTTTTCCCACTAAGTGGAAAATATTTTAAGATAATAATAATAAAAATTAAAGAAGTGGACCCAGGACGTTTTGCTGCTGAGCCAGTTGGCTGCTTGGGCAAAGAGATCAAAGCTGGACCTCAAAGGCTCCAGAGGGTCAGAAAGGCAGGAGAAAGCTGGGAAGAGCGATGAAGAGGATGGCAATGTCAGCGAAAAGCCTAGACGCACCCGGGGACAGGACCCCAGCAGGGAGAAGGATGGCAGGAGAGGGGGAGCCCAGCACCTGAACCCGGCGGCCCCAAACAATGTCCCCCTGTTCCCACAGCCTGGGACCTGCGGCCAGAGGCAGGGAGGGAGGTGGGGACTTGGCGGGGGAAGGGGCTGCCTGGGGTGGGAGGACTGTGGGGCGCTGGGGGGCAGAGACCCCCCTCGGGGAGTGCCCTGCTTGTGGCAGAGTCTGGAGGTTCCTAGGGGAGAGGGGTGCAGGCAGCGGGGCAGGGTGCAGGCAGCAGGCAGCGTGCAGCACAAGCACACTGGAGGCAGGGTGTCCCAGGCAGAGTTGGGCAAGGCAGGATTGCCTGCCCCATCTCTGACCCCCACCAGCAAAGGGAGTAGCAGGACCCCAACCTGGTCCCCTGCTCCCCTGGCGCAGACTCCGGGCAGAGGCAAGCTACTTTGCATTAAAGATATTCGAGCTAGAAGCCAGAAATCTTAAAACAACAACCCCCCAGATAAAACTAGAGGCAGTTTGAGGCAGACCTGCTCTGCTAAAACAAAGTAAACACCCAGGTCTCCAGCGAGTGCCATTTATTTTTATGCAGCTGAAAATATCAGACATCACTCTAAGACTTTTCCTATTTATAAAGCACTGGAGGGGAGTCACCTTGATTAACTCTGCCCCATGTGTCACTCTGTTTGCAGTAAATCCGTCCAAATCCCCCTTTCCCTCCCCCCATTTTCTTCCTTTTCCCAAAGCCTGGTGTTCCCAGCTGCCTCCCTAGCAGCAGGCAGAGCAGGCAGGGGCG